TTATTTTTTATTTATTTTATTTTTTATTATTTTTTTATATTCTGGATACAAGCCCTTAAGCGGCAGTAATGTTTTCAAGATTGGAACAAGATAATGTGAGTTATTGAGAGAAGAACTTTAGGGAAGAAAAAGCCCATTTTTAAAAGAGGTTGTACACTCATTTAGTTCATAACTTCAAAACTCACAAAAGGGTAAAGAGTGCAAATCTCACTGTCCTCTGTTCCCCGCTGTTCAGTTTCTCTGACTTGGGAGCAGTCATTCTTCTGTGTCTAATAGTTCATTCTTACACAAGCAATGCCCCCCTCCTTTATTTTCATACAAATGGCATCGTCCGAATGATAGGCACGCTATTCTGCATTTCACTTTTCTTTCACTAAATATTATACCCTGGGGAACTGCTTATGTTACAACAAGTCTCAAGTTTAGATGTTGCATGCTCAAACTTTCATCCCTCGGTAAAGACACAGGCATGTAGCAGAGATTCAACAGATGCTATTGCCAGTTTCATCCCACTTCCAAAATAAACAAGCCAGCACTGCTGCACCTGTCTGCTGAAATTAAATTCAGAACTAGTCTATAAGGGATGTTGCTGTCTTCACCTGAGAACTGCAGTACAAACATGCCTTCGGTGATATTCTCAGAAGGAGTGTTCAAAGAGACCAGATGTATTTTTAATCCTGCCACAAAAAGAAGCAGAAACCTCAGTTAACTTGGAAATTTTTATGTCAAAATCCGAGAAACTACAAGTAGCTTTGACACCAAGCCTTTGGATAAACCGAAATCATAGGATTAATAAAGCAAGTGATTTTTTTTGCTCAAAGATCTAACTTTAGTGTTTAAGCTTGTCTTTGTCTTGGTAAGGTGCTGTCTTTCACTACTTTCCAGTGCTGTCACTGAACCTCAGTAGGGATTATGTGAGAAGCTGAGACATCACCTGGTTTTCTAACTCATAGTCTATCGTCTCTGATTCCTTAAAACTTAACACATTGAATCGTAAGTGGTAGAAAATTATATGTGCAGCTGAATCTTCAGGAATTTATCTGTCTTGGTTTCTATGCTTTGTACCATCACTAACCACATTATAAATATTAGCAGTTGATGTTTTATAAATCTCTGGGGTTAAAACTTCATGATTTATAACAGCCAAAAGCTTAGAATATCTGCTGTGCCATCGTAGGGATTGCTTTTTGCTTTTGGTTTCTGGGCAGCAACGGACACTTTAGCCTTTAGTTTGGGCAAAGGGAATAAAAGCAAACAGCAATGACATCGATTTGAGTTTTGAAGGGTTTTTAAGTTATTGTTACCTTTTAGCCACATTACTGCTTTCGGTGTGTATGTTTGTTAAAAATCCCCACAGTTTTAGAATCTTCCTCCTTTTCAGTTGAATAGTGTTTGGCTGTTGTTCCTCACTGAATATACAAGTTCTGGAATCAGAGTCACTTTCTCCAGGCAACTCAGTGTGGTTAGTGTGTTATTGGTTATTTTTAAAAAGTATTGTAAAGGGATTATATTGCCTGCGTGTGCACGCACGTGTGTGGATGTAACAAGCTTGCGTATGTGCAGGAGGGCAGGGGAGAAGAGTGTTCAATAAAACCAATAAGCCATTGAGTCACTAAATTCTAAAATAGTGAAACATAGCATCGGATAATTCTGTGGGAATGGACAATAAAATGCAAAAATCTGAACCTTTTTGAGCTCAACTAACTTACAAACGAATAAGGTGAGATTATATACATCACTTCCTTCCGTGTCCTAATAGGAATGCTATGTTATCATGATTTTTATGCTCAATAAATAGAATATTGATGAAAATGTATTTGGTGTGGGTCAGAATTGCAATACTAACTATTATATTATTTATAAAAAGATATGGTAGAGTTTTTAACTAATATTTCTAATGTTTAAGCTGTCATTATCATTAGACATAATTAATTGAAGGCATTGTAAAATACATCAAATTGTGTCCTCTATGTAGGTAATCATGGTATAGCAATTTGTTATGGCACTAATACCACCCTTTAGTGAGTATATTATCTTTGTCCCATGACACTGGAACTGTAGTAGAATTCAGTTCCAATTGGCTATAAAATATCTTTCTTCAGTGGATGTCAAACTACTTTAAAATATTATCTCAGTGCTTTTAGCTTTCGAGGAAATATTGGAAAAGTGATTTATTCTTATTTAGCGGGCAAGAAAATGGCAGCATAGACAGGGAAAGTCAATTGTATAAGGTCAGTTAATAAATCATCTTTATGTGGGTGAGATCAAGTTTCCGAAGTCACAATCTAGTACACCGGGGACTGAACATCTGCCTAAGACAGATAGAAAAAGTAAAAGTCAAATGTTTACCTCACTTGGTTCGAAAGAATATACCTGCTGGTTCATTTTAGACTGATGTGCTCAAAGCTTCAAAATTTGTGAGTCAAGTTATGTATATGAGTTGCCAGATTATATCTGGCAGCTTTTTATACTGTATTAACATGTTGACCTGTATGAGGTGGTAATGGAATAAATTGAAATCAAGTGTTTTGGGATAGTTGTGATGATAAAAATGGATTTCTTTTTGCAATAAATGCTTCGGTTTTAAAAGAGCAAGAGAAAAAGCAACAGAATATAAGAAAGAGGTTATAGTTTAAAAAAAGAAAATATACTTACATTAAAGAATATTAAGGGTAATCATTAAAAAAAAAAGAAAATACAAATTAATAATGCCCTATCCAAGATCCAAGTAGATGTAGATAGTGAATCGAAATTCATGAATAGCTGTGGTCGGCCTCTTCTTATCATCTGTTCATTTATTATTCTCTGTTGGGGGAGATCTCTGTTTGCTACTAGCAACTTCTTTCCTCTTTTTACCTTATCAGTATTTCCCAAGTGTGTTTTCCAGAATATAAGATCCATGAGATATGCATATAGGGGCTGTGGACAGAGAAGTTTAGGAAAGATTACATATAGTAGCTATCTTTTGGGAATTCCTAATGTTCTTTAACACTTTAAAGTCTTCAAGGAATGGTCAAAAATCAGAAACCTTTTTCCCTTTTTTTATCCCAACCCCTTCCAAAGGATTTAACTGTGAAATATATATGTAATACATATATATTTTTTAAACATATACATATATTAAAATTCCAGGAACCTTGCTTTAGAATCAAAAGACAAAGTAGCAGTGATGAGAATGGTTTGAGGAATAAGGGGATATAGTTGGGCCAACATAGATTCTATGGAACACTTGGAATTTTTGTAGAATCACTGATTTATGTATGCTATGTTCATTTTCCACTTCAAATAAACATCTATTAAAAAATGCTTTGGGGAGCGCCTGGGTGGCTCAATCGGTTAAGCAACCACCTCTTGATTTTGACTCAGGTCATGATCTCTCAGCGTTGTTAGATCTAGCCCCACATCAGGCTCTGCGCTCAGCATGGAGCCTGATTGGGATTCCCCACCCCCTTGCCCCTCCTCACTGTGTGCTCTCTCTCTCTAAAAAAAATAAATAAATAAAAAATGCTTTGTGTCCTTTTGATTACATATTCTATAAAAATTGTTAGATTTTTATTCATGGATTTTCCATTGAATTTGTAAAATATCATTTTGAAGGAAAACATACATTTGGGGATATCTTACTGAAGTTTTTTTAAGTCATAGAAGTTGCTTTCCTTGGAGTGAGGCATTTAATTGAAAAAGTCATTGTTCAGAAATCACTGTGATTCCATATTTTTCTCTTTTCCCAAACACTTTGAGAATTGTTGTTGTCACTTATATTTTTTTAAGATTTTATTTATTTATTTTTAGAGAGAAAGAGTGTATGAACTGGGGGAGGGGCAGAGGGAAAGGGAAAAAGGGAACCTCCTGCAGACCGCACTGAGCAGGGAGCCGAATGTGGGGCTCCATCTCACGACCCTGGGATCATGACCTGAGCCAAAATCAGGAGTCCACCGCTTAACCGACTGAGCCATCCGGTGCCCCTTATTGTCACTTTTAAAAGTAATTATGAAAAAGAGTGTTCAAGTTAGAAATTCACAGCAATCATATTTGTCATTCGGTCTACCACCCAAAACAAGGTATTTAATTTCTTGGCTAACGGAAGACTGTTTTATATTATTAAATTGAATGTGATATATATTTCCTGTCCTTTATCTTTTGAAACTGAAGAAAGGAACAACTGCAGTTTGAAAAGCTTTTAGGATGATGTAATGGAGCAAATGGCCTCTCTGAAGCCTGGGCATTGGTTTGTTTTATTTATGATACAACGTGGGGATATTTTAAAACCAAGATTTGTTGAGCACCCCATTTTATTAATACCGCTGTGTTAAATGTGTGAGTATTGAACTGTCAATGAAATATGAGACCTTTTACCCAGTGACATTTTAAATGAATCTCCTTGTAGGGGAAGCCTGTGGGAACACCTGATGCTGGTGCTTATTTCCGCGTGCTCGCGGAGCACGGAGTTGCTGCCTTGTTCACAGCACCGACTGCAATTAGAGCCATCCGTCAACAGGACCCTGGGGCAGCCTTGGGGAAGCAGTACTCTCTGACAAGGTGAACTTGGGATGCACAGGGCAAAGTACATTAAAAACTGCAATCAGAATGAATAACGGAACATTATATTTTTTTTTTGGCACTGCGATACCTCTATGGAAAGAGCCAGAAGATTCTGGATGTTATTAAGAATGACTGTTCTAAACATAGCTTTGAATTAGAATTTTAACCATACTATGAATATTTTTTAATACCATATTGTGTTTATTTCAGTTCAGATCTTAGCAAAATATTTCTCTTTTTTAAACCACCGTGCTCACATTTTCCTTAAAGTAAAATGCTGACTATGGCTTAAAATGCATTTATACATATATAAGAGTATCTGACTGTCTTTTGAAAATAGAATAATAGTGTAAATAGAAGGAAAATATTATTTGATTTTGTATATAGAGATCAAATGTGAAAATTATAGTCCAAGTTAGTGTGGTTGAAAGAGTGGAGGAAATTGTCTTTCTGTTGTTTTGTAATAATAGGCCCTGAATAGTTTAAATATTTTTTACTGGTTTATTGACATCCATTTCAGTTTAATGATATGTATATTCGAAGATAATTATAGCAATTTGTATCTTCAAGGCAGTTTCCAGCATCAGTTCTTTTTGAACTTGTTTGAAATTGGTCCCTGCTCTCATCAACTAAAAAAAGGATTTTGTAGTTTCTTCAAGTCAAAAAATGGCTTTGAATGATTGTTTTGAATTTTTTTAAGTTAAATGCCAAGTGTTAGGAATTTTATGTTGTGAAAACCCAAAGAAGGAGTCAAAATAGATATCATATACCGATTGCAGGTGGAAGCAAGAAGCTTTCAGTTTGGGCAGTCAGTGGTTTTGTTTTTGGTTCTTGTCCTTCTGTTTTTCTGTTTGATGAGAAATTGATCTGAATTTACATAAAATTTTACTCATAATCTAAAGAATACACTCATTAAAATAAAAGTGTTCATAAAACGAACCTCCCATTACAGTATTTCTACTCACCCTCAGTTTGTCCCTTCATTTACTACATTTCAATTGTATTTTCTCCATTTCAGCCAAAAGAATAGAAAAGTAGATTTTGGTAAGAACATCTTAGGCTATATACAGCCTCCATGGCTTAGACAGTTCTGGGAAATTTTGAAGAAACCGTGATTGTGGTTCTTTGCACCATCTCTTTCCTAACAAATGCATTCTGATTGCAGGGTGTGACGTGTGACCTGCAAGCCAAGGAAGGTCTCTTATTTGCTACATCATCTTTTCCCATTTGTACATGGGTTTTAGACGTTATCCATTACTGTGAAGGCAGGAACCATTTCTAATTTTATTAACGTAGAAAGCATCCAGTAGTACTGAATGCCTATTATATCATCACTTTTTTTTTTTTCAAACTAATACTAATACGGAGTGTAAGATTTTAGTGTAAGAGAAATTGCAGTAAGTTCCCCCTGATAATGCCCTTCTGTCTTTAGGCCCCTAAGTTATTCGTGATGGCGTGCACATATGTTTTTAATAGATATTTAATGACGTAGACTCTTCCGACACCCTCAATTCTTCAAATCACTACCGTTAATAAATGCAAACATTTGCTGATTACCTACTATGCTCCAGGTATAAGCAGTTTAAGTTTCTCTCATTCAGTTATCACAATAAGTAGGAATTGTGATTATCCTCATTTTACAAATGAGTAGTATTAGGACCAGAAAGTTTAAGAAACTCTTTGGAAAGAAACTAACTCAGGCAATCTGACAAGGGCCCACATTCTTCACACAGACATATTCTTCTTATGAGAGATAGTTAAGAAACTCACTTGATCCAGAGATTTTTGTCATTCATGGGATAAAAGCAGCTTTTACCTCTTATATATTTTTAGCTTATTCAAATAATACCTTCACTGAACTTCTGTGATAGATTCTGACTTGTGAACTAAGGGGATGTTGGACCTCAAAAATCCAACTGTTTTTAAAATCTGATTTTAAAAACAAGGAAACCAGAGTCCAAAAAAGTTAAGTCTGGGTTAGAGACAGAATAAAGACCAGGACTCAAGTCTTTTCACACAACTATACCTTTCGTTTTATATTTATGTTCAAGACATTTCATTCTTACTTAGTGAACTGACATTCACCAGGTATTATAATTGCAGGCTCATGATTGATCTGCAGAGCTTGCTTTCTCTCTTCTCTTATAGGACATTTCAAATGATGAAAATGTATTTTTAAGATGTGTTACATATCTCATTAAAGATTGTTTTAAAATAAATTTGGAGATTTGCCAAAGATTTTGCCTCCCAAAGCAAATTTCAGAAGGTATTCTGAAATAGGGAACTAAGCAGGACTATGAATTCCTTTTATCATAGACGATTAGAAGTCAGAAGAACAAATTAGAGGTCATCTAGTGCCAACATCTCATTTCACAATTGAGAAGATGTTGTCACAAAGAGGTGAAGTGACATGCCCAGGACTACAGAGCTACCCTGCAGCAAAGCTGGGATGAAGCAGTACCGTGTGCTATAGTTAAGATTCTCGCTCTGGGGGCGCCTGGGTGGCTCAGATGGTTAAGCGTCTGCCTTCGGCTCAGGTCATGATCCCAGGGTCCTGGGATCGAGTCCCACATCGGGCTCCCTGCTCCTTGGGAGCCTGCTTCTCCCTCTGCCTCTCTCTCTCTCTGTCTCTCATGAATAAATAAATAAAAATCTTTAAAAAAAAAAAAAAAAGATTCTCGCTCTGGAGTTAGACACACTGGGTTCAAGTCTACCATTTACCGGTTGTGTGACCTCAAGAAAGTTACATAGCCCCTCTGTTCTTTTTGCTGTTTTTCTTTTTTTGCTCTCCCTCCTCCTCCCTCTTCCAGAACATAACTATAGTAATAGTGTAAGAACATAATGAAATTAAAAGGCGTATTATCCATGCAAAACACTTGGAACAGTTTAACATAGACTGTCATTGCTCTTATCATTATTATTATTTTGCTTTCTAATATACTGCTCTTCTTTCTCACATCATGGTGATTTATTTTCCCATGATCTGCCAGTTCAATCTTAGTCAAGTTAGAAAAATTCAGTTCTGCTACTTCTATTCAAGGTATCAAAGTCCCTAATACTCAGATGCAGCCCTTCTTTTCCAATTGCATAATAATGAGGGATAATGCAAAAAAAAAAAAAAAAAAAGCAGAGCACCAGAGATGAGCTCAAAAATAAAGTAAACGTATCTGTGGATTGGAAATAGAATCGATCTGCAAAGTAGTAAGCGGGGCTGAAGCCAGAGGCTTGGCAGGTGTGCAAGCAGGCTTTGGCAGTGGAGTAGAGGCTCAGTATTCCCCTGTTTTGATTGTGGGGTCAGAGTCAGCTCAGTGGGGCATTCCACCTCACACATGACAGGAGACTGATAATAGTGGTGAGAGGGTGTTTTCTGGGACTGGGACTTAGCGCAAGCTTTGGTCTAACGGTCTGAATGAGACAGAGAACAGCCCAGCAACTGGAGACTGAATGAAACCGCCCACTTGCTGTCCTAGAATAGGATCTGTGATGTCCTGAGTATCACTGTGTGTCAGTAACAATTCTGGATCATCACTGCGACATTGCCTCACTGGGGGATAGCTGCATCACCCACAAACCTATTGGATAGAAAGGTGAACATAGGAGAGGGAGCAAGAGATAAAAATAACAGCAAAGAACCTCTTTTCCTTCTTCTTAAGACACTGGTATAAGAGCAGGGATCAACAAACACACTAATGAAGTTGAATAAAGGATCGCATTGCTATGGAAACCTGATTTACAGAGGAGGTAGCTTAACAGATAAGTGGAAGAAGGATAGACCCTTAAATAAATTGGTACTGAAACAACTGGCTATATATATATAGAAAAATTGAATTCCCTACCGTATACTCTACACAAAAATAAATTTCAGCTGGATTCAAGGCCCTAAAATTGTAAAACAAAGAATTAGTACTTTCAGAAGAAAATGGATAAATATTTTAATATATTTTTTAGTAGGGAATGACCATTTAAAGCATAAATCACAAATCACTAAAGAAAATACTGATGAAATTTACTACACTAAAAGGAATAATCGCCCATCAAAAGAATAAACAAACTTAAATGATGAATTATTCACCCAGAGAAGATATTTGCAACATATATAACCATTAAACAATTAGTGTACAGAAGATATAAAGAACTCCTACAAATCAATAAGAAAACACACAATCCAATAGACAAATGGGCAAAGGATATAGACAGTCAGTTCATGGAGAAGACGAGGGCAGTCTAAAACATTGAAAGAACTTTAATGTCACTAATAAACAGAGAAATAACATTTTCCTCCCATTGTACAGGCAAAAAGTTAAAATATCTAACAGTAATACTTGCTTGCAGGTTATAAAGCAGCAGAATGGTTTTTACACTACTATGGAGAGTGTAAAGTGGAAATATCTAGTAATATCAGTTGCTCCATGCACTCAATATGCCCCATGACCAAACCCGTATTAATATGGAGGGATGAGAATGAGAAACTCACAAATGCGAACAACAACTTGAAGGTTCTTAACAGAGTTGTTTCAAAACAAAACAAAATATAAGCAATTACATGTATAGTAAAAACATAATGGAAAATAAATTAGGTACTATGGTGTATTAATTCAACAGGATGTTTAGAAGTGGAAATCAACCAGAACTTCAGGTATTAGCATGAATAAATGTCAAAAAGCATAATGCTTTTGAGTATAAAAAGCAAGTGAAAACTGACTGTGTTTCTCTTACATATAGTAAGAAAAATTTGAAAAATTACAAAAACCATATTGTCTTGTTTATATATATGCAAACAGGCAAAAAAAAAAATAAATGTATGGGAATGAAAACCTCTGAGTAGTGCTGGTTACTTCTGAGGAGGTATGGCTAGTGGGATGGTGAAGAGAAATGAGATTTAAGTAGGGTTTGGAGAGAATTCAGTTGAGTCAATAATATTTTATTTTCTAAGTGACATAAATATGACAATGATAAAAGTAGGAATTATGCATAAAACTGGGCAGTATGGACATAAT